CTTTCTTACGTTTAACTGCTGATCGGGCTGGTCTTCGTTTACAGTTCATCCGAATGTGTTCGGTGCTGTGAGCAGTACTGTTGCCCAGGAACACTCTTCTTTTAAAAACAAACAAATCTGACCTACCAGTTATGGGAGAGGCTCACCCAGTGCCACCCCCTGCCATAGGCAGGGACACCTTCCACTAGACCAGGTTGCTCCAAGCCTCATCCAGCCTGGCCTTGGACACTCCCAGGGATGGGGCATCCACAGCTTCTCTGGGCAACCTGTCCCAGTGCCTCCCCACCCTCTGCGGGAAGAATTCCTTCCTAATGTCCCATCTCAATCTCCCTCTTTCTATTTAAACCCATCACCCCTTGTCCTGTCACTACAGGCCCTTGAGAGGAAGTCCCCCACAGCTTTCTTGTAGCCCCCCCAGGCACTGGAAGGTGCTATAAGTTCTCCCGGAAGCCTTTCCTTCTCCAGAGGAACTCCCAAGTTCTAAAGGAACTCCTTTAGACAGGCCTGTACCTGTGTTCACTGCATGTTCAGATCGTTTCTAATCATGATTCTGAACATTTTGCAGAACTGTGACGGTTGAACGATTTGAAGCCCCAGCCAAAAGTCGGTCTGGCCGATGGAGGAACTCCTCTGTGCCGAGGGCGGCCCGCTGGCGAGGCGCAGGCGTTCTGCCCCGCAAGCGGACAGTGGTAGGAGGACGCTGGGGTTTCTCCCAGGCTGCTATCTGCCCTGTTTTCAACATTCTCTTTGTTTCTCTCTTCGTCAGTGGGCACCTGGCAAAACTTAGGGTCTTTTCAAGTTGAGTGGCATTGTGCCCCCTCTTTAGGGGTATTTATTTCTTCATCTTTAAAGACAATCCAGTTAAAACTCAACGGCCAGGCGGCTGTTTTCGGGAGGCAGGTAGGAGACTGCTTCCGAGCCAGAGGCAGTGGAATGGAGCTGCTCTGGGGGCTGCAGCTGGGAAAGTGCTGGAGCTGCTATTGTTCGCCAGCCGCAGCACCCCTCTCCTGGTGCTCTCCCATATTCCCATGTTAGGAAGATAATCCAGATGTAATTTGAGGCTTGCCCTATGGCTAAGACAGACATTTCTGCCCCTCCTGCCCATGGTAGCTCTGTTAACAACTGATGCCTTGTTTATAGCTCCGGCAATACCGAAATTTCACATCAATGGCTTTCAGTGACTTTCATCTTGCTGTGCTGACTAGTCGAGAGCCGTCACATTCCTCCATACACCTTCAGTTGGCACCAGGAATGAGGCGTTTGAAATTCCTCAAGGAGAGAGCGCATGAAGCTGCAATGGAATAAACTGTTTGGCTGTAGGTCCAAAACTGTTCCTACGAACAGCTGTACGGCTTAGCCCTCTTGGGGGGGTGGGGGGACAGGTCCTGCAACGTCATTTGATTGAATAATATTAACAACTGCTTTTAGGTTCTGGTCTGTAGGTAACAGCTCACTGGCCTTCTGGACGTGGGGCAGCATTTGATGGCTTCTGGAACTGGATCCTCTCTGCCACTGCTTGCTTTTTTTTTTTTAAGTAAAATGGGATTTATACAAAATGATCACGTTTCATAACTGGTGGATGCCAGCTTGCGGTTGATTGCACAGCTCTGCATTTTTGTTTGTCGTTGCTGGGGAGTGAGGGACGAGCTCCAAAAAGGCAGACTCCATTGCCTCCGGTGTTTGAGCACATCCAATCGCTGTGACTGGATTTGCTCACGGGCAGCTGCTGTGTTCAGCTGAAAGGCTGTGTCAGGAGAGATTGCCTCGGTGATCGAGGTCCTCGGCCCTACTCTTCACGCCAACAAGGCCTAAAGCCTTCTCAAGCCCATGTGTCTCATCCGTGCCTCTTCCTACGTCATCGGAAAACAAACCAGTTTTCAGCTTTCCATCTTCAAGGGGCAGCCAGTTCCCGTATGGAAATAATATGTGATAAACCCGCTTCCTCTTTTATGGAAAGGGACCTTCTGCTTGCCTTGCTGACTCCTCGTGTGTCCTGTTGTTTCGAGCAGCTATTTTGTCATTCTCTTCCCTTTGTTTTTGGATCACCCACTTGGCTGTTTGCAGCTTCAACACTGTGACAGAGATTTATTCCTGTGTCAGAGGACTCGTGTAGAGAATCGGCGTAGTTCAGGGGCCAGACCCTATCAGGGGTCTGATAGTAAACTGCCTTCGTGCAGTTTATTTCCTGGTGATTTTTTTTTTCCAACAGAACATTTTAAGACCTGCTTGTTTTGGCTTGGGATGATAGTGCTTTTCTTGACTTCATTGTTGTAAAGCCCCAGAGCCCGGCAAGCCAAAAGATTCCAGAAGAGATGGACAGTACAGCCTGTGGGCAAAGGCTGCTGGATTCCTGCTCTCTGACAGGTGGCTGTTGCTTGTGGTGTGGCTCTGTGTGCGGATATTACGGTGAAAGGAAAGAAGGGATATTCAGAGGGAAGAACAGGCAAGATCTGAGCTAGAAGTGAGGCTGATAGGTTAGTGCCAGCTGTCCTCATGCTGAGCCTGCAGAATCCCGTGTAATGCAGTTACTTGCCTTAATTCCCAGAGTTAGAAGCCCAGTTCCCTGTGGCCCTTGTACAGGCAGAGAAAAAAAAAGCTTGCTTCACCCTTGTTTTCCCAGCGATGGCAGGGAGATCCTAGGGTGACTAGGCCATTGTGATGTTCCTAAGCCTCTCCAGAGTTCTTAGTTGACTTTGGATTGTGCTTCTCTGTTTTGCAGACCCACACTGCATCTTCCTAGGTGTTAGAAAACGCTGAAAATCCTTCTTGGTGGAAACAGCTAATGTTATCTGGAGGGTTGTGTTAGTACTGGGTCAGCTTCCAGCTTGAAAATGCCTTTCCGCAGTAGCGCTTTCCTGAAGTCATTACGCCTTAGCAAGTGGTTTCACGTAGGCACTGGTGGGGTTTTGCAGAGTTACCGTAAGTCTCAGCATGTTTTCTGTAATGCAGCTGGAATTTTTGATTTGGAAGAAGCTGCATTTGGAACGGTTGTCATCAAGGGGAAAAAAATGTCCTTGGCAGGCACCATTACCAGCTGTGTCCTTTACGTATCTGTGGGATGCCTGGTTTACCAGCTCTTTGTTAGAAACTCCTTCGTGTTAGCTGATACACTGTAGTACTTGAAAAGATGTAGTACTTGAAAATTTTTAGACAGCTGCTGTTAAAAGTTTTCTTTAAATACTTGACAATTCACTACAGAGTGTCAGAGCCCACCACATGGAATCACAGACTGGTTTGGGTTGGGAGGGACCTTAAAGCCCACCCAGTCCCACCCCCTGCCATGGGCAGGGACACCTTCCACTAGGCCAGGTTGCTCCAAGCCTCATCCAGTCTGGATTTGAAGACAGCCTGTGCTGAAAGAGTTAATCCTAATTTTCCAAACAATGTCAGGCAAGATGATGGCTCTGAAGAAGCCCCTGGCATACACAGCATCCAGGTGGATTTTTATTTTTCTTCTACTCGTGAACAAGCCGAGGGGGAAATGCACTGCAGAGAACTCAATGACTAGCTTGTAAATGGAACTTTCCTTGTAGTTCATATAAATTCCAGCCAGACTTTTTATAAAACTGCTTATTACTCTGCTTTGAGGGAGGCTGGTGCGTCTCGGGTCCTGCTGTTTGATATGCTTTCTGCTTTTCACAAAAGCAGCTACTTCTGGCAACAGCTTGCAATTTAACAATGTTCTTGATTACAGGGGGTCACTGCGTGCTGCCCCTCGCATCACGGAGCTGCACGTTAAGGGTAGTGCCTGGTAACAGCAGCTTGCAAACGTGTGTTTTCCCCTCTCGTTTTCCAGTGCACACGTACCACTGCCGTTGTTCTGATGGAGCCAGAAGTGCCAGCTTCCTTCTCCATCTCATCAGCATCTCGCCTCCCAGTATCGGGAGGGTGTAAATGCTGTTGGGATGAGGTGGTTTTGTCTGATTAGGTCAAATACGTCCATGATTTGTTCTTCTGCTAAAGGAATCTGCTTGATATTTTTATCCTCCAGAGGCCACGTGCTCAGTTTTGCTCTGGTTAAACACAAGTATGTCAGAAATTGTTGTTCTGCTGCTTAGAAGGGAGGATTTTGCCTTGTTCCGATGGGTAGGTGTTTGCCCTTTCTCGGTGCAGAGAGCCATCGTCCTGTTTCTCAGCAGTCCTTCACAGGAATGTAGCTGCCGCTAAGGAGATGTGAGCCAAGAGGGTGGCGGGAAGGTGGAAAGGGATGTGATTCTACATAGCTAAAAGCTGCTACTCAGATGGGAGATGGACCAGTTTTGTGAATCCCCTGTCAGCAGGGAGCATGCTCCGAGGTCAAGCGAGCTCCTTCTTGGCTGTTCAAGCCTGCCTGGCTTAAAAAAAAAAACCCATTCCTTGCTTTGCTGTGCTGTTTTTCAGCGGAGGGAGCGAGTGGTTCTGTAACAGGGTGCTCTGCTACCTTCTCCCCTTCGCTTCCAGCAGTGTTTCTTGGCCACCCTTGTTGGATATACCATGGAGGAGTGAGCAGCAAGCTGCAGCAGTGGCAAGGAGGTAGTTACTGTGTGGGAAAGCAGTATCTTTATCGGAAGATGCTTTCTTTCTGGAAACCTTCCAGTGCAACTAGTCTTATTTTTGGTGGAAACCCGTTAAGGCTCTGCGGTTCGTTTGTTGATGCGGCATGGCAGCTCGGGTGTGGTATTTCCAGGATGTCTAGAAAAACTTCTTGGGTATTAGTGTGAGGAACCGTTTTGGGATTGTTAACAATATCCTGTTTTCTGAAACCGTTCTAGCTCCTCCGGTTAGGAAAGGGTAAGGTAAAATACAATGCTTTATTTTGGGATGACTTCATGTACAGCAGGCATAATTAGGTGATGTGAAATGAATCTTGATAAAGCTGCTTGTTGGTGAACGGGCAGTGACTGACCTTGAGGGGCTGCCCTCACGTGGGGCAGTGGGGCATTTTTCTCTCCTCGCAGCTGGGTGGGTGAAAACCCTGTCTTTAAGCTTTGTAGTGTTAATTTTCTGTTCCCTGTTAACAGGGTCACCTTGTCCTCCACGGAATGTTACATCGTGCACGAGATCTACAATGGAGAGAATGCTCAGGACCAGTTTGAGTATGAGCTGGAGCAGGCCCTGGAAGCGCAGTACAAGTACATAGTGATAGAGCCCACTCGCATCGGGGACGAGACGGCCCGCTGGATCACCGTCGGGAACTGCCTGCACAAGACCGCCGTGTTAGCGGGCACTACCTGTCTCTTCACCCCTCTGGTACTTCCAGTAGATTATTCTCACTACATCTCCCTGCCTGCTGGCGTGCTGAGCGTGGCCTGCTGCACCCTTTATGGCATCTCTTGGCAATTCGATCCCTGTTGCAAGTACCAAGTAGAGTACGATGCCTATAAACTTTCCCGCCTGCCCCTGCATACGCTCACCTCCTCCTCTCCGGTGGTGCTGGTGAGGAAGGACGACCTGCACAGAAAGAGACTGCACAACACGATAGCACTCGCTGCCCTGGTGTACTGTGTAAAGAAGATCTATGAACTCTACGCTGTATGACTTCAGCAGGGAAGAGAGAAACCCACAAAGACAAGTGTATTAAGACTCCCACAGTAACGTTTTGTTTTTCCTCTTTGAGAAGCAGTGGAGACCGGGAAGGATTTGGGTTTAATAGAGATGTTATTTTTAAAAATAACACATCACTGGTGCACCAAGGTTTTTTCAGTTCTTCGTTACACTTACGATGTGGATGTGTGGTGACTTGAGAGCTGTATGTTAGGCCACGGGAGTCCAACCCAGCAGCGATGTCGATGAAAGCAAGCTACAGAGAGAGGGGGGTGCGAGCGCTGCGGTTTTTTTTTTTTTTTTTTGAAACATTTAAGTATATTGTTTAATTGTATTACACAGAACCAGCCAGAAGTTATCATTGACCATTAAAGGATGAGAATTTCAAATGCTTTTGCTCTCTCGTTACTGCTACCCTATTTCCCTTTTATCCTGTGCTGCCGGGGGATGATGGAGGCTGTCTGCTGGGAGAGCTCCGGTGGCGACTGCATGCCCACATGGACCCAATATTCCTCCTGTCCCCTGCGTGTGGCAGCAGCATCTGTGTTACTTCACAACACCCATCTGTTGCAGGAGGAGCTGTAGAGTGTTGCTTTCCCTCTTGCTCAACCAGTTGTGTTTCTTGGAAGAGGGCTTACTCGTTAACCGGTGTTCGTATCTTTCAGTAATTACTGAAACATCGATGGTTGGGGCTAAAGGTGTCCAAATCCTCTGCTGCCCTGGCACCTCCAACCGTTACTTCTCTGCACAGTGGAGGTAAGGCTGAGTCTGCGCGGTTCCCGTGCCAGCTCTTGTGGATTCTCCTCCAGGGAAACGCGTGGTGCAGCTCCAGCTGGGGACTGCCGAGGCGGGAGTCCAGCTCTCGGCCCTGCGGTGTCACTGCTGCTGAACACCCATGGGGCTGTTCCCTGCCTGCACGGTTCTGCTGCTCTTGCTGGAGCTGTGCTTCCGGAGCTGCCTGCTTCTGCAGGGCATCCACGTGACTGTATCTTGTCTTAGCTGGAACTTCAGAATTCAGTCTTATGCATTAATTCATCTCTTAGCTCAAAACTGTCAAAATCTTGTTCTTGGAATGGGAGGTGTTTACTGCTTTGCAAGATCCACCAGTTACTTTTATGGGATAGGGGCTTGCTTTCCATAATCTCCTCCTACCAGATGGAAAATAGGTGTGGCTAGCGTTGGCGTGGCTAGCGTTGGCAAGGCCAGCCTGGCACAGCTTCAAGCGCTGCGATCTGAATACAGGAGCGAAGCCCTGCAGTGAGAACTGCCCGCGCGCAGGTGTACCGCTGGCTTCGGGGGTAGCCGCGGTCCGGCCTCCGCAGCGGAACCACTGACCTTGGAAGGGAATCTCACGAGGCCGGAACCCAGATTCAGTAGTTCTGTCTCTTGTTTTTCCAAACTGCAGCAGCGAGCACTCCCCCTCGCCTCCCAGCCGCGGCAGGCTTTTCTGGCCGCCGATCCGACTTGTGCTTTTTCCGCTGATGCAGCTTTTGTCTTAGCAGGGCGTGCGTCCCAGCGTGTGTGTACTGGGCAGACGGGGCTCGCCGGGAGCTCGGAACAAGTACCACCCGCTTAGGCAGTGGCTCAGCTGATGCGTGGGCTGGAGGAGACTCTGTGGCATCGAGACGTTTTTGAGGTGGCAGCAGCCTCTCCTGCAGGTATGTGGCTGAGTTGTCTCGCTCCAAGGTTAAAAGAAGCTCCAGAGCGTCTCTATTTATAGCAACAATGTACAGTTGCCTTGGCAGAGAGGAAGGGAAGAAATGCAACCGCTTCATCTTGCTGCGGTCAGGCCAGGACTGCTGTTTTTTTTTGGCGTTGTTCCTGAAGTCACGTCTACTGGATAACTTTAGAACTAGTGGCAGATCTGCTGTAGCCAACGTGCTTCATTCCTGCAGAAGGCTCCGAAACACCCTTGTGCTAGCCACACAGGAGACGTTCCTGCTCAGCGCGGAATAACTAGCTCCTTTTCTTCACCACACCTCTGTGAGCCTGGATGCTTTTTTCATGCTGAGGTTTCCCTCGCCTGGACGGTCGCTCTGGCAGAAGGACTAACCCTGGGTAGGCTCCCTAGATGCGCAGCGTGCATCAAAGGCTGGAGTTGAGACTGCGGGTTTCCTGCGGTTTCTTAGTGCAGGAGGAAAGGTGAAAAGTCATAGAATCACAGGCTGGTTTGGGGTGGAAGGGACCTTAAAATCCATCCAGTCCCACCCCCTGCCATGGGCAGGGACGCCTTCCACTAGACCAGGTTGCTCCCAGCCTCATCCAGCCTGGCCTTGAACACTTCCAGGGATGGGGCATCCACAGCTTCTCTGGGCAACCTGTCCCAGTGCCTCCCCATCCTCTCCGGGAAGAATTCCTCCCTGATGTCCCATCTCCATCTCCCTCTTTCTGTTTAAACCCGTTACCCCTTGTCCTGTCACTACAGGCCCTTGCAAGAAGGCTTCCCCAGATTCCTTGTAGCCCCTTCAGGCACTGGAAGGTGCTATAAAGTCTCCCTGGGGCCTTTTCTTCTCCAGGCTGAACACCCCAACTCTCAACAGGCAGGTCTGTTGTGAAACCACACCTTTTGTGCCGTTCTGAGGTGCAGAGGACGCAGACGGGGCGTGGGGGTGGCTGGTTTTCCAATAAATATCAGTAGTAATTTAGCAAGAATTTTTGATGACGCCCCTATTAGTGCTGTAACTGCACGACCTGACTTGGGAGGATGAGAGGGGTCTCGAGGGTCGTGCATTTCAGTGCGTTGCATGGATGGTTCCGGTATGCAGAGCTTTGGGACCCGTCTCTGCCCCCCTCCCGCGCTGGCATCTGCTGGGGACAAGTCTCCCTTCCAAAAGTCCCGCGTGCTCCGCTGCCCGCTCTGAAACGGAGGGCGCTCCGTTCAGCACCTTCCAAGGGGAGCGTGCTCTTGGAGCTGTGGTTCAAACGCTAACTACCGCAACTTCCCACACGTAACCTTTTTCCCCTCAGGCCTGGTGTGTTCCGCTCCTCAGCACCCTGGAAGATAACACAGAAGTGCAAAGTGGCCCCGTGGTCCTTCCTGGTAGCCATCACCTGATAGACCAGGAGATGAGCAGCTGGGTGGGACTGGCAGGAGCCAAGAAATGCAGGGCCTGAACACGCAACACACTGGAAAAGCACAGCTAACGCTTACAGAAACTCCCTTTGTGGAGAGGGAGAGCAGGTGATGCCTTGGTTTCTTAACAAGAGAAAGGATAAAACGCCTGGAAGCTTCAATTTGTCATTTCAGCCCAAGGCCTTTAACAAATCTGCAAGCTCAGCAAAAATGGTCAAGGGTGGCCTAGCAGCAGCAGCGTTGTGAGCGCTGAACCTGGCCATCACCTGGGCTGGACTCGCCGATCATTTATAACTAGTGGCCAAGAAAAGGCTTGCTGCAGAAGGTCCTGCTGACGCTGCGCGCCTGTGCTGGACTTCAGGGTGACTAATCCTGTGTGGATCCACCGTCTGCTGCAAACGAGCCGGTGATGTAAAATGGGCTGGGATGTATGTTGTTCTGCAAGGACTCCGGTACGACAGCACCTTGGAGGAAGGTAAGGAAAGAAAACCAAAGCCCTCCCGCTCTCCCTTCCTCTAACGTTACCTTCCTCTAACTGCCGCCGGGAGCTGAAGAGGAGCAAAGGATGGATTTCACAGCAGTGTAATTTATTTGTCATCAGACGGGCGGGACACACGAGGCAGCACGCATGGAGAAGGCTGGTAAACGCTTGGAGGCGGCAGCAGGGGTCTGCACCCGGGGTCCTACTAGTAGATTTACTTCAGTTAGAGGTTAAAAAGGAGTATTTCTGTCCTGCTGAGCTCTGTGCAGCCGCTCCCTTTCCCTCGTGGCGCATGCATCTCTCACAACATGAGAAGGGGTGAAGAATGGGATACGGCACTGCCTCAGGCTGTTGGACTCCTGAAGCCTGCGATATCTGAACAGGCAGGTCTCGTCTCCCCACTGGATGTGATCCTAATGAGCATCTGTGATTGCTTTAAACACGACGACAGCGAAGGGTCTGTGTCCTACACTGTCCACCCTACGCACAGATTTTCCTGCTTGCCAGGACACAGTGCCTGGTGTCTACGGAATCACACCCACGCGTGTTCTAGGCCGCAGGTGGAGCGGATGTGCTGCTGCACAGTGTTCACACTCAACACCATTCCCTCCTGTGCTGGTTTTTATCAGTTCAGTGCTTCCCCTGGGTTAATTTCTGCTGGGGTGAATACCGTACTGTCGGGCAGTACAGAGTTAAGCGTCCCTGTACAGCAGTAAGGCAGGATTCGGGTAAAATAACTGCCAAATAAAACCAAGATTTGACATTACTCTCGTAAAAGTGGCACTGGACTTCAGTCTATCAGATGGTTTGGCACGTTAACAAGCAGAGGCTCTGTGAAGTTTTCCACATCAAGCAACACGTTCTAGATCACGCTGGAAGGCGTGGGAAGGAGACACTGATCACCAGAGCTCCCAGCTGGGGCCTGTGTTCCACAGGGGTCAGGGGGAAAGCCAAGATCTGCCTGGGTGTAGGCAAACCAGGTGGGGTTTATTTGTAGCAGGCCAGTAAGGCTGAGCATGCCCAGAGTGAGGTGCTGCCTTCCAGCACATGGGCCTGCCCTGCTGCACAGCGTTCCCTTGAGTTACCCGCCCCTGCGGCTCTGTTCCTCTCTCCAAGCACCCTTCTCCAGGTGAGGTTTAGGTGGTCCTGCCCCGACGGGGAAACTGCTTCCCGCTCTCCATGCAATGGTAACTCGCAGTGTTTTGTGGAAGGTTTTTCCTGCGGGAGCACCTTGGCTGATGTCCCAGCCAAACTGCAGGGTTCAGCCTCTTCCTGCAGCTGCTGCTGGGCTGAGCTGAGCTCTAAGAGTCCTTTGCTTTTCTCTCCTTTTTTGCTCTAGTTGCCATCAAGGTGAAGAAGAGCCTGGGGAAGAGGTTTCGCAGGTAGACAGCCAGGAAGGGCGTCAGGCCAGCTACAAGTACTTCCTTCTTCTTCAGTCCC